CTCTCTCCCTCTCTCTCTCTCCCTTTCCCTTTCTCTCTCCTCTCTTTTCCTTTCAGCAAAAACACCCTGACTCTCCTGGTGAGTGGCAGAAGCTGCTGCTGATTGCATTTCTGCAGGTACAAGGTTCAGAACATTTTCCATTTCACTCCTCGGGGCCATGGTGACTCATCTACCAATCCATCCACAAGTATTTACAGAGCACCTACAGTGCATGTAGTCCTGGGCTCGGTGCCACAGAAAACACAAGGAAAGAGTGAGCCTGGGATGGCTGGCCTTAATAAAGTTCCCCTCCTTCAACTCCATTTACAGTTGGGTACAGCTAAGGCCTCGGAATGCCATATCTCAAATAGAAGTGTAATGACTGAGTAGCCTGAGGGCCAGCTCTTATCCAAATTATCAATCTGCCAGGGACTGACCTAGAAGCAGGCAGTCAGGACCATGGCCAGGGGTAATGGTGAAGATGGGAGCCACTAACCAGATCTGTCCTTTGGCAAAGGACAGCACCAAACCACTGCCAGAGTAACTGTGTTGGGCTACCGTGATGGATGAAGCAGGTGGAGCTGAATGTAATGGGGAGAAATTAAAGAACCCTCCTGCTTGCTACTAGATGGATGACAGTTGTGGTATCTTGTGGCAGACCCATTGGTATGCAGAGAGTGAGGAAAATGTGGGCATGTGAGTGAAGAAAGTGTAGGCTAGGTATGTGGACAGACTTTGCCTGTCCCTTCTAGGTAGACCCATGGATACAGATAAGACTCTGGGCTTGGAAATCCACACAATTTGGACTCCCAGGGTGTTTGTTTCAGTGTCTCTCTGAGGACTCCTCCCATGAAGGGGAACACCAAGGGGCCATGTATGGTGTTTCAGCTTTCTCTCCTCCTAACCATCTTATATGCTATGACTATACTCATACTTCCCTTTGGGTTATAGAAGTCAGCCTCTAATGGTAAAGTCTTCTGAAACTGCCTCCAATGTAGATTTTATCTCAGAATCTGGCCCACAAACCTTCTGGCAGGTCACCAAGCCTCTGTAATAGGGTCAGCAAGACCAGGGGTGAAGCCAACACATCCCACCTCCACATGCATACTACAACATCCCAACTCCTGGGTGGCCACGGGACAAGACCATGGGTGTTAGAGGGAGAAATGGACTCAGTGTTAGCACAATGAATGCATGTTGACTGATTCAGACTAGTCTGATGTCCCTCCTCTGATGCCACAGTCAGGGAGGCCACAGGGAAGGATGCTAATGGGCAAAGGAGAAATCCCAGAAGTGGGTTGAGGACCGTGCTGGAGGAAAAGGCATGTCTAAACCAGAAGCATTCTATTGCGAGAAAGCCCAAGTCCCAAAGACCAGAAAAGTTTCTGTAAGACTATTGGGAATTTACAATCAAATGGAAGAGAGGAACAAACATGCACATCACTGTTATACAAGGGGGAGTGTGTGATGGGGTGACAATGTAGTTTAGGGAAAAGAGCCTTGGTTCTAAGTTTGGAAAGTATGGGTTCAAATCCTCCATCTGCTGCTGAGTGACCTTGGACAAGTCTCTTTGCCTCACTGGGCCTCAGTTTCTTCATCTGTAAATGAGGGATTGATCCAGATAGTCTTTGAGGTCCTTTCCATTTCTATGTCCATGAATTTGGACATGATCCTATGATAAATGCAAAAAAGATGCCAAGGCCAGATGCTATGAAATGTGGTTATTATTGTTATTATTATTTATTCCTGGCATATTATTTATATGAGGCTGTGCTGATTTCCTCCCTCTGCACCACTTCACATGTCTTCCCATATTTCTTTGTCTTCTTTCTAGTCACCATGTCCTCTGTGGGTAATATCATTCTAGTCCATATGTCACAATTTCTCCAGCCATTTCCCAATCACCAGCATGCAGGTTGTTTCCAATGTTTTGCTGTTAACAAAAGAAAATCGGCTGTGGATATCCTGCTACCACTGATTTTTTCCACACCTTAATAAACTCTTTAGGGAATCCTTCTAGTAGGGGATTCATTGAGGTGAAGAGAATGAACAGCTCTCAGCATATTACTTCCCCAAAAGGTCGCTTTCAACTAAGAGTAGATAGGGAATGCTTACTGAATGGAACTGAGAACGTTTAGGAAGCAATACTTTGGAATTGGGGCTAGGATTAGTGACAGTGGGTCTCAAGTCTCAATGTTGCCTCTACCATCATCACCATCAGGAGGCGCTTATCTCTGTATGGTTATTTTGAGCCCTCTACAGGGCAAAGCCAAGGTCTAGATTAGACCCTGTTCTTCAGGGTTCTTACAGCCTAGGATGCACAGCACTGAGAGAGACCAATATGGAGAGGTGTGGAGATACTGTATGACCTCGGGCAAGGAACAAACTCTCTGAGCCTCCTCAGTTTCTTCATCTGTAAAATGAGCGATTTGGACTAGATGATCTGAGAGGTTCCTTCCAGCTCTAGGTCTGAGATCCCATGACCTTTCTCCTCTGGAAAATGAGGGGTTGGACTACAGACACCCTCTTGCTACTAGATGGATGACAGTTGTGGTATCTTGTGGCAGACCCATTGGTATGCAGAGAGTGAGAGAGTCACTAATCCTAATCATAGACTTAGAGCTCTGATCTGATGACCTACACCTGCATGAGAGTGATTTTCTCGGGCAGCCCTGTCAGCACCTTGGCCAGCAGCTCAGTTCAGATCATGACGGCTGATCCCTGTGAAGTGGACTGCATAGGAGTTAACCTTCACACCTGGGGTGGGAAGCCAAGGAGACCATCCCAAGGCCAGTCAGATCCTTAGAGCCTTCATAGCCTTTCCTTTCCACAGAGGCTCTGCCATTGTGACTCTGTTCTAGGATCCTGAATCTTAAGGATTCCCCTATCCTACTTGGCTTTGACTTCACCCTGGGGTTCCTGGCTGTGGCTTAGCACACTTGTTCTGGCTGGATTTTGATCTCCAATACTATTTATTGTCCAATCCTATTTATTGTATCTGTTTCCTCAGACCTAGTCCTCCTATTTCTAAACCATGGGTCTGTACTCTGGCTTTGCCTCCTAAATCTCTACCCTGTTGACACTATAGAGCACTCACCTCCCTGCTCCTCTCCTTGATTCACCAAGAATCTGCTCCCATTAAAGTCCCTTCCAGCATTTTCTGGGTGCTAGCAAGGATTAGACTGTATGACACGTGAACTAAATGCTCAGAGGAGAGATAAATCCATGTGCATGGAGTGGGGTAAAGGAGATGGGCTTTTTATGGGTCACATTCAGAAGGTAGAGAAGACGTGGGCTTTTTAGGGGTGGGAAAAACAGCATGGGTGAAAGCACCAAGGTGGGAGTAAGCATTGTGAGGGGGACAATGAAAAGCAAAAATGCATGTCCAAGAGTAACCAAGAACAGTTCCACATGCATACGTACTCCTACAACATAGTTGGTGGGTGACCTTGGGCAAGTCACAAATGCTCTCTAGGACTCTGTCTCACCACTTATCAGATGGAGACGTAGCCTCTGAATTGCAGCGGCATTACACTGTAGAACAATTGCTTATATAGACAAATTGGGAATTCAAGGTGAGGAATTAACCTAAATCTAAAAGGGATCTTGGTGGTGCAACCCCTCCATCCCAAGGAGGGGAAGTGACTTGGGTAAGGTCACTTAGGAAGTAGCCATTCTGGAATTTGAACCCAGGTCCTCTGGCTCCAAATTCAGATCTGCTTTTGAACTTACTGTAGAAGGTCATGGTAACATCCTGATTAGCTGTGGATGCCACCTACACTCCTTTCCTCTGCTTTTTTCTCCCTTGATAGTTTTCTACCAAAAATGCCAATTTCTGGGCATAATCTCCTCAGCTCTAGAAATGAAGCCCTGCAAATACCATCTTTAATCCTCTTGCAAGGTTTGATTCCTTTGGAAAACAGAAAATGCCAGGGCTTAGTTAAGAGAAAGCTCTGCACCAGCTCCCCCATAGGCAGGCAGGACCATTAGGCCACCCCAAGGAAAGGGGTTTTTTATTTCTTTTCTACAGAATATTTGAAAATAGCCACAGGATTTCACTTTAGATGCAGTTCCTTCGGTGAGCTGATTTAATTAAATTTTCTGGGAGAAGCAAGATGATTATTTTCAAACTTGTTGGCACCAGATGTCTGGTGAATCTCAGAACAATAAATTCCAGTGGTTGGCAATGAGGAAGAAGGATTTCTAAGGCCCTTCTCAGCTCTGACATTGCATGTCCTAAAGGCTCTCCCAGCTCTGATATTCCAGGACTCTATAACCTTGGATCTGGGTGTGCCTCTTTCCTCTGACCCTCCCAAGTGGCCATATACACCCAGACCTAGGAAGGGAAGGCTATTCTGTCATATCCAGAATTTTAACATAAATCATGAAGAATAAAAGGTTAGATAGCCCCCTACTCACTCTCTTCTTCCCATGCCACCCCTTTCAATCTCTCTAAACAAGATAACTACACTGGTCTGTCTCTTTTGGTGTGGGTGTTTTTCTTGCCATCCCTAGCACTTAATACAGTGTCTGGCACATACCAAGGGCTTAATAAATGCTCATTGACTTGACTTGACTTGACTAGGTGATGCAGCCAGCCTTTAGTGGAAGGTAGTAAAGTTCCCTTTCCTGGATATCTTCAAGCAGAGACTATTATCCTTTGTCAGGGACAACATAGGAGTCCTGTTCACTTCCTGGTTGGATGACATGCTTTCTACCCCTTTGAAGTTCCATTCAGCTCTCATTCCCTGTGACTCTCTGGGTGGGAGTTATATTGGAACATTCAGATGGATCTTTGATCTCATCAATATAGCCATTCCCTCCAAAGAGGAAGAAGGCAACTCATTCTTGCCTCCCCCACCTATGTCCCTTGCACCCTCAACCTCCCATAAGTTGACTGCAACAGGTCCACCCAAAATGCTACAGGCCTACCTTGGCATGACCAAGCCACCAAGGTAATGCTTGTCCAGTGAGACAAATTTTCAGCCCTTTGATAAAAGGAAAGGCTTCCTAACAATAAGTGCTGTCCAAAAATTTAATGGGTGGGATTTTCCCTTTACTGAAAATATCCAAGGGAATACTAGGTGAACAGTTGTCAGGAATGAAATAAAGGGGATTCTGACATGAATATGGGCTGGATTCAATGACCTCAAAGGTTCCTCTTAGTTCTGGGATTCCATGACTGAAATGGTGTTGCCATTCTCCACCAGCTCTTCTCCTGGGCTATCAGAAAGTCAGACACAAGCCTTCAGAGCTGCTGTCCGCAACCTAGGTGAAGGCTTCTTGTTCACTCATGACCACAGGGGTTAAAGAGCTGATCAGATGTCCTGGGCAGCCATCCATCTCACAAGGACTGAGGTCAAGTTCAAGGTCAGAGGGCCACATTCTTTCAGAGGTAAGCTCACATTTATTGGGGATATAAAGCCTCAGCTGAAACATAAACAGATTCCCAGATTCTAGACCACATCACCACTTCTCACTCACTTAACTTCCATGGATTCCTGTTACTTCAAAGATTAAACACACTTGCAAAGATCACATGGGCTGAAACCACTTCAGCAGAGCACTGTCTTCAAGAACGCCTAATTCCCAGCTTCAGTCTTTGTCTCCTCGGAGTCCTCGCTCCTCTTGTGTTTGGAAAACAAGCTGTAGAGTACCCTCAGTGTAGCTTTGGGGTCCCCACTGGTGATGTCTGTGGACAGAAGAGGGAGGTGCACATTTCTGTTTGTTCATTTATTCAGCAAATCTTGATTAAATACCTATTGTTTTCAGGGTGGTATGCAGAGCCCTACCGGGGATCCTTAGCTGAGCTCATCCCAGGCTGCTTACAGCCCGGTAAGGAAGGCAAGGCATAGACCTCAGCATGGAGTACAGCCCCAGGCTTAGAGGCACAAAACCGAGGTTCAAATCCTGGCTCCACAATTTCATCTCTGTGACCCTCTGCAAATCATTTCCCCTCAGAGCCTCAGTTTCCTCTTCTGTAAAACAGATTTTAAAAAGCCTTGACTGGGTATATCACAATCAGGAGAGAGTGGAATCACCCATTTGGAACCAAAAGGGACCTTAGAAGTCATCTGATCCAAGCCTCTCTTTTTACAGATGAGGAAAGTGAAGGCCCAGAGAGGGCAAGGACCTTGCTCAGGGCACAGAGATAGCAGGGGACAAGACTGGGACCTAAACCCAGGTCCTTGCTCTCCAAATCCAGCACCCTTTCTACTGCACCAATGCTCCGAGTGTCATTGAAGCCTTGAGAAAAGCACTGTGGAGAGTGGCCTAAGTATCAACAACAACAATAACAACACAAGTGGACACAGAGCTGTCTTGGGCAGCAGCTTCTGACATCTCCTGGCTGTGTGACCTTGGGGCAGTCACTTAACTTTCCTATGCTCCCACACAACTTCCAAAGCCTGTAAATTATGGAAGTTACCAGTCTTCATTGGTAGAGGGGGCTTCCTCACTGGCTGTTGCTTATACCAATGAACTCACTGGTCTGCACCAAAATAAAATAAAACCAACCAGACAAGTGAAAACAAGACGGAATATAAAAGGGCTGGAGGAAGGACAGAAAGCATTGTGAGAATTCAAAAGATGAAGCAGTCCTTTCTGGTTGGGAGCATTAGGGAGGGCTTCATAGAAGAGGTGGCATTGGGGCAGGACCAAGGATGGGGAGGAATTGAATTGGTGGAGATGGGCCAGTGGTAAGGAAGGGAGGGCATTCCAGGCAGAGGAAGCAGCATGAGAAAAGGTGCAAGGGTGGGAAGCCCCCAGTTGTCCAGTCTGAAGGGGATTACCAGTGAAGGGAGTATTGGACCATAACGTGGAGTGGGAGGGTAGTGCCTGATTAAAAAAGTGTTCAAGAGCCAGGCAGAAGAGGTCAGACTTTACTCAACAGGCAACAGGGGACCCTAGAAGCTGGTTGAGAAGAGCAATGACATGAGCAGATCTATTCATAAGAAAAATGATGCTGGAAGGAATCTGGAGGGTGGATTGGAGGAGAAGGAAGGTGGGGAATGCTTAGTGCAGTAGCCCAGGCAGGTGGCAATGAAGACCTGTTCCAGGGTGACGCCCATGGGCCTCCAGAGCAATTCCTGGGGGTGAAATGGACAGGACTTGGGGACTGATCATCACATGATACAATCATTAGAGCTTTTAAATGGCTAGTTCTGGGGCCCTTCCTCTAGGAAATCTCTGATTTGGACTAACCCCATCCTGATCCTTGAAGATCCTGAGACTTCTGACAAACCTGTGAGGTAGTGAGCCACAGCAGATGCTATCATCTTCGTTTTACAGACAAGGGAGCTGAGGATCAGACATATGGCATACGCGCTCAAACTCACGCAGCTGAGGAAGCACCTACTTTGAGCTGGGATACAGAACGTGGTTTTCTGACTATCATCTCATTTCTTTGTATCCCCAGTGGAGTGGGTCACATAGGAAGTGCTTAATAAATGTTTGTTGATTGACTAACTGATTGACATTAGTCCCTCTGACAAGTGCACAGGCTACAGCTGAGTGAGAAGCGTGGGCTTCTGGGCTCTCGAGGAGAGCCTGTTTGCCTGCCAGCCAGGAAGGCGAGCCCTGTTTCTAGCTAACAAGGGCAAAGCAATCGACTCCCTACTCGAGAGCATCTTCTGAGGTGCCCACTGACCTTCGGGGTTGACCGGATAATTGAGCAGGTCTCCTTCCTTCAGTAGGTCCATGGCCAGGTTAACATTATGCAGCTGGGAAAGAGAAAAAGTCACCTGGGACAACAGAAAAGAGCAGTCTATCCTCACCTGAGAAAGGGTCCCGGAGACCACCCAGGATGGGCAGGGGGAGGCCAGGAGACACGGAAACCCAAAGACAGCTCCTCAGGCTCTGGCTGGCAAGAAAGGGAGCAGAGCACAGGCCTAGGGGTTGGTCCTGGCTCTGCCACAGACTGACAGTGTGACTTTGAACAAGTCACTGCATGACTCTGGGCCTCAGTCTTAGAACCTAGAAAGGAGGGAGCTTCGCCAACTGAAAACTCAGGCCCTCCCAGCCCTGACATCCCCTGTTCTATGTTCCCTCCCAGCCCTGACATCCCCTGTTCTATGTTCCCTCCCAAAGCTGGCATTCTATGGTCCATGTTCTAACATCATATGTTCCAAGGTCCCTTTCAGGCTTCTTCTGTGATTCTCTAAGCTGCTGGGTGAGTTGTCCTCTCTCACAATGCCCTTGACAGGGTTTGACAAAAGGAAAACCATCTAATTCTCTCGCAAACACGTTTGCCGCCATTGCCTGGGCAAAGAGCAGTTCCCCCATCGCATGGAGCTCATCTATTTCAGAAGGCGCCTTGTACTCGGACAATGGAAAGGAAACCCTGATGGAGCTCTGGGTGACAAGGGGCCCCAGCCTAGAGGGGGAGGGGTGGGGAGAGGAGCAGAGCCACACAACGGCCGCATCCTCCGGACCCAGTGTGATGTTCATCAGCCTGGGCAGCCTCCCTCCATCAGCTTCATCACTGCGAAGCTGGGGGCCCTTCCTCCAGACCTGCCCCCGTAACCCCCTTCTGCCCCAAACAGGACCCCGCAGTGAGTGAGCGCCCAGCTGCACCCATCTCCTGCTTCCATCCATCTGCCTCTGGGGAAGGAAGGAAACTAAAACCGGGAAGATGACCTCTGCTTCTCCCCTTAAGGGATCTGGGATTCCATCAGGAGCAGCAGCCCACATCTGTTAGCAGTGTTTTTCAAGTGCCCTGCAGGGGCAGGAGCTACTATCTCCAGTTCCACTTGACACATAAAGAGACTAAGGGTCAGAAAGCTCAAGTGGCCTTATCAGTCAGTCAATTAGCAAGCATTTATAAAGCACCTGACAGGCAGGAGAACTTCATAAAGGTTTATTGACTGCCTGCCTGCCTGCCTGCCAGGCATTGTGCCAGGCGCTGGAATTGTCCAGGCTTCCAGGAGAATACAAGGTCCTTGAGGATAAGGATTGTCTCACTTTTGCTTTTGTCTCCTTGGCACCTGGTACATTTTGGGGGGAGTGAGGAGTAACTCACCATTTCAGCAGGAGAACTGGGGGTCAGGAAAAAATCTTTTAAGTTCAGGAAATAGCCTTCAAGCTGTCCAATCAACAAGATTAGAATAACCCCATCTGCAAACTGCAAGAGAAGGCACAGTGAGGGCCAGCTTGGTGGCTGTGCTTCTGAGAACTGGATTCCACTCAATCCAGTGAGCACCGATTAAGCACCTACTAATCACCTATTAAGCACTGATTAAGCACCTACTAAGTGCTAGGCACTTAGTGGAATAAGACCCAAGTCTGGAAGGAATCTAAGGCTTCCAAGAGGTAGATACAAGGAGAAGTAACATTGCATGCATGGGGAGGGGGGAGGGAATAGAATGTCAGAGAAAGCAGGCCAGTGTGACTGGAGAAATATCTAACCAGCCTGCAAAGGGAAGCTGTGGCCAGTTGTGACGGATTCAAAATGCCAAACAGAGGAGACGATTTTACCCCAGAGGCAGGAGAGAGGCATAGAAGATTCTAACCTGGTTTTACTTGGGGCTCTGCAGATGAAAAAATGCTCAGGTATTCCAACAAGTAAATGGAATTCCCCTAGAGGGAATGAGCTGCCTGTCACTGGAAGTCTTCAAGGGAACAAAGTATTCATCAGAGATGTTGGCAGGGTTGACCTCTGAGATCCCTTACAGCTCTGGTATTCTATTATCCTGCTGAGATTCCAGTCCATTTGGGAAGGACAAGAAAGGGAGCAAAAATCCCATTTATTTCTAGGAGTCTCATATTCAATGTCTTTGATTTCACATGTGTGTGTCTGTGTGTGTGTGTCTGTGTGTGTGTGTGTGTGTGTGTGTGTGTGTGTGTGTGTGTGTTCTCTCTGGTATAGATCTCAACCCTTCCACATCACTAGAGCAGAAAGAACATGGAGAGAGACCATGTGGAGTAGTGGCTAAAGAGTGAGCCTCATTGTTAAGACAATGGTCCTGCCTCTGACACACACTAGCTGTAGGACTTTAGTTAATCTCTCAGGGTCTCAGGCAACTTTTTATAACTATAGCAGGCAGAACAGTGAGGCAATCTTCTTGGGTAGAGGAAGTTTCCTCATGAGAAATTCCTTATATCAATGAAAGCACAGATCTAATTTTTTAAAAGAAGGAAGGAAAAAGGAAAGAAGGAGGAAAGGAAGGAAAAAAGAAGGAAGGAGGGAAAGAGGCAGGGAGGGAGGAAAGAAGGGAAGGAAGGAAAGAAGATGGGAAGGAATGAAGAAGGAAGGAAGGAAAGAAGGTGGGAAGGAATGAAGAAGGAAGGAAGGAGGAAGGAAAAATATAGACTTATGGTATAAGTCCCAGCACTGTTATTGTGTAACTCTAGACCTATTTTTCTATGTTTTTCTTAGTGATCTCGGGAAAATTGCTTAATCTCCCTGGGTCTCAGTTTCTTCATCTATAAAAAAGGAGAGTCAGACTAGACGTCTTCTTAGGTCACTTATGGCAAGGGTATGCTGGTAAATAACAACCAGGTTTCCAAAAGAAAAACTGTGTCCGAAGCTCAATCTGCATTGTTACTATTTTCTCCATCACTTTCTTAAGTCTAGAGCAACAACCAAGAAAAAAATAAATCAAGCCTTGATTTGTTGCATTTGCTGATTTTCAAGGTTTAAAAGCTCACATTGAAGTTTTAACAACCAGCTTTCTCAATAGGAATGGGTTCCAGTATACCTCTGCTTCTATGTCTAAGCTTATGTTCCTATGATCCTGAGTTATTTCTCCTACCCTGTGCCTCAGTTCCCTATTCCATAAAAATGAGGGGTAGGACCACATGGCCTTGGAGTTGCCTTCCAGCTAAAAAGCTTTTTCAATCTCTGTGGAACCTGATAGCATGTGGATTCCCCCAGAAGAGCCTTTGAGAACCCAGGTTCGCCTTCCTGCCAGCATGAACCATCAGACAGGGGCATCCGTGGGGATCTCATGAGCCTTCCTGCCTGTAGATAGGGAGACAAAGCTGTAAGCCGTGCCAGCCACATCCTCCGCTAATACAATCCCACGGAGCAGCCTCAGGGGTATCAAAGAGGAGATTAGTTATCTGAGGGAAGTCATTATTCACGTCCCATAATGGAATTTCCTTAGATGAGTTTTGGCCGCCTGCTATTTGTCTCGGGCTAAGAGTTTCTCAGTGGATACTGCAGAATAACACAATAGCCGTGCTTGTAATGTCATCCCTTCTATTCAGGCCTCTGCAAACGCTTTCTCCATCCTGTGTTATTCTCTTCCAGATCTGATCATTTTACAGGGGTCACCCACCAGGTCAGAGACAGCAGAGAGACCTCGGAGCTAAAACCCATGAATGATGAGGATGCACAGAGAGAGAGGGACCCAGAGAAGGCATTTTAGTAACAGGCAGGCAAAGTCTGAATGTTTTAATAAGACATTTACAAATGCGGGGAGAAATCAAAGACTTTCTAGCACCGAATCTTGGGGCTAACACTTAGTAGGTGCTTCAATGTTTGTGAAATGAATGAATAAAATCCCTTGACCCCACCATCCCCTCAAGCTATCATCTCATATCTCTCCTGTTTTCCTGCCAAGCTCTTAGAAAGAACTATCACCTCTCACTGCCTCCTGTTTCATTCAGCTGATCAAAAATCTTCAGGGCTCCCTCTTGCCTCTAGTACAGACATACAGCCTCTTCAGCTGAGCGGTGAAAGTTCTCCAGAATCTAGCTCTAGCCTCTCACCCCCTATTCCTTTCTATACAGTCTACGTCCCAGCCAAACTGGATTATTACATCTTTCCTGACTGCAACATTGCATCTTTCACCTCTGAGCAACTGGCATCTTGCATGCCTGGGACAGCTATCTCCCTCGTTTCTGTTGGTTAAAATCCTCCATTCTTTGAGGCTCAGCTCAAATACTGCCTCTTCCATGAAGCCTTCCCTGATCTTCCCAGATCTCTTCCTTCATTGTTTCTAAAGCGCTTTCCTTCACTCTCTCCTTTGCTCTTACATCATACTCATTTGTCTTTATGTCATATCGATAACTCCCAGTGATGAAACTCCTTTTGCCCACACTGAATGGTGCCTTTTGGACAACTCATTGCCATAGAGAGTTGCCTGAGGCACTGAGATAGTGTGACTTACTCTTGGGTCACCAAAGTGGAACTTGATCCAGGTCTTCCTGTCTTGCCAGCTCCCTTTCCTCTAGGCCATGATGTCTCTCCGTGTCATACACCCACGAATGGATTGTAAGCTCCTTAAGGTTGGGGACTACGTCTTACTTCATTTGTATATCCCCAGCACCATGCACAGTGCTCTGCCATACGTAGACATTTAATAGACTGTGTTGAATCTCACCCTAACTACCTTCTCCCTCTCCCAGTGCCTGGCACAAGGGTCTGCATACAAGATGTTTGTTGAAAGGAAAAAAAGGAATGGTGTCTAACATGAGAAGGGCATCACAGCTTCACAGGAAAGGACTTGTCAGCACAAATCCTCTCTGTCTGCTTTGAACTAAAGGTATCTCCCAGCCACCACCCAAGTTATCACAAGAGCAAAAATCTATTTTTTAAGTGAATATCCAAAGGAAAAGTGAGCCACCTGCTACCCAGGCCCCCTGGGTGAACCCAGGTACTAGTCTGGGAGTCCCTACCTGGGTATCAATATTTCGCACAGACAACCCCAAACGCTCCATCTTCTTGTTGACAAACTTTATGATTGCCTATGAAAAAGAGGACAAAACAGAACTGAGTATCCCAGAGCAACCTGCGATGGACCACTGTGTGTCAGCTTTCAGCAGAGCTGGGGTCTCACTTACCTCTTTGACAGCATTCACTTTCTCCGGGGCAAGTTTAAATAATTCATCAAAGATGTCGACTTCTGTAGAAACATATTCAATAAAGGCTTCATTAGGATTCTATTACCTGCAAGACGACCAAAGGCTGAGCCAGAGGGAGCTGTCATTAGAGGACTCCCCTTCTCTGGAGCCTAGCCCTAATACACTTATTATCAACCTGATAATTTGATATTCATTCACTCACCCATTCATTCACTCTCTTATTCATTTATTCACTCACTCATTTACTTATTCACTAATTCATTCACTCACCCTTATTCATTTATTCACATATTCATTTACTCATTTCATCTATTCACCTTGTTTATTCCTTCATTTATTCATTCACTCATTCATTTATTCACTTCATTCATTCACTCATTCATTTATTCACTTCATTCATTCACTCATTCATCTATTCACCTCATTTGTGCCTTCATTTATTCATTCACCCATGTATTTATTCACTCATTCATTCACTTACTTTTCACTCATTTACTCATTCATTTATTCACTTAGTCTCTTATTCAACTCACTTCTTCCTTTATTCACTCATTTACTCACATATCCACTTATTCAGTTATTCATTCACTAACTCACTTGTTCCCTCATTTACTCATTCATTTATTTGCCCATTCATTCATTCATTCATTCAATTCATTTATTCCTTTATTTATTTGCTCATTCATTCACATATTCAATTATTCACTCACTCATTTACTTATCCACTAACAAATTCCTTCAGGCACCCATTTTTCCACTTACACTCTCAGTTACTCACTTAACCAACAAATAGTTATGGAACATCCTTTCGATGTGAGAGATCCAAAGAATTTAACACCTGATGCTCAGACTCTATTTGAGGAATAATACATATGCCCACTGATAACCTTCAGCTTCACACAGCAGGATGTGCCCAAACTTCGTTGGCAGATCTACAAAGAGCTGTGTCACTGCAAACTCACTATGTGAGTCTTGGACCCCAGGTCCCCAAGTCTATGTGAAGGCTGGAGAACATCTTTCCCCTCTCTGACCTGCAAAAACCTATTCCTTTTTCTCCCTGGACCTTGTGACGCCCTCATATACCTGTTTGTTTTTCATATTTAAATGTTTCCCTTGGTTTGCCCTTAGACAGGGGCAAAGACAGGGGAGTTGAGCTGTCTGAGCTCATGCACTCCCCGATGTTGTCACACTTGTCTTCATCAGAGGTGATTCCAAGTTCTCAAAGGCCAAACTAATAAAGTATAATCCATCAGTCTATCAAACACTTATTGAATGCTCACTAGGTGCTGGCACAAGTGTTGGTCCATTCTATCATGGTTGAAAAGGTTTGAGTATGAGGTCAATTCATCCATGTGTCTTTCATTCATCGTGTGGTTCATGTTCAGGTACTTTGCAAAGCAGAAAGTTCTGCACAAATGTACTACTGAACCATCACAATAAGAGGAATGAAGTCAACACTAACCAGTTCTGAAGTATTAGTCAGAACATATGAAGAGAATAAAAATCCTTTATATTCATTGGGTGAGGTACAGCTTCCAAAGGTTTCACATGCATAATCTGCTTTGATTCTCACAGTAGCTCAGGGTAGACAGAGATACTGAATATGAATCAAATATAATTGTACGTATTTAGTCATGAGGCTCATCATGTTGAATTTCTTTTCTTTTTTTTTTTCCTTTGGACAGAGATACTAAAATCTGCATTAGCAAAATCACAAATCTTTAACCTATGATACATGAGCCTGGAGACTGGGCTGCTCTTCCCAACAATAGGAGCTATCCAGCAGAATGGGCTATGTTGGGAAATAGTGGGCTCCCCTTTCCTGATGGGCTCTAAGTACTGGCTGGATAATTGCTTATTGGGGTTTATGTGGAGGGAACTTCTAGTCTGCTATGAGCTGGACTAGATGCCCTCTGGAGTCCCTTCTCGTTCTGAAATTCTACAATTCTGGAGTCTTGGAAAACAATAAACTCAATTCTCTCACACAGTAATGGAACCCTTTATGGTCACTATTTCTTTTGAACCCCATGGCATGACAGCCCTGGAAGGTAAGTCATGAAAATGTTGTTAGCCCATTTCACAGGTGAGTAAATAGGCTCCGAGATGGGGAAGGTGACTTCTCAATGGTTATACAGCCATTTGAGAGTGGGGCTAAAATTGGGCCCCAGATCTCCTAACTCTGAGTCCCTTCCTATTCCTAATACACCCTACTGCCAAAAAGACAGATGGACAGGCGGGGAGGCAAACAAATAGACAGGACACTTGAGAGGTGCATGCTAGATTATGAGACTCGCACATGTATCCCCCATTAGACTATAAGCTCCCTAAGGGCAGGTACTGTATTTTTTTTTTCATTTTGGTATTCTCAGCACCCAAAACAGACCTACAACATTATAGAGGGTCAGGGAAGTCCAGGTCTATGATTTTTTTTTCAGAATAGAGACCTTCCAATACAAAAATTCCCTTTATGAAAGCATTTCATCCACCTGTCTGTGACCTTTAGTCTTGGAGATTGGCCTGGGGCACTGAGAGTACATGACTTGGTAAGCTGGACTTGAACCCAGGTCCTCCTGGCTAAATGGCTCTGTATTCCCTATGACCTGCTTCCCCTCCCCAAGAACATAAGAGATGTTTGATAAGTGTTTGTTGGGAGAAACTGAATTGAACACAAGGAAAGATCATTCATCATGCATGTCGCTAGCAACAGCCAAGTAATAGGGAGAGATTTCCGCTTTTCCACCTGGGGGCAAAGACTTACTTGACTGCTGATCTGAATCCATGCTAAAGACAAAAGAAAAAAGTGGTTAAAACCCATCTGCTGCTAACATCGGTCTTTCCCTCTATGGCTGGCCGCACTTCAGCACGACAGGGAGCTGGGTAAACAAAACCCTCTCAAGCAAAGCTTCCTGAATCAGCAGCTCCCCCAGCCTTGGTTTGCCAGTCAGTGAGGCTGTCCAGGCTCCAGGCCATTCCAGAGACTCTTAAAAGGACCACCCATCACCTGTACCTTTGGACAAGCTGCAGGGACTGGGTACACACACGGACAGAAGCAAATGAGGTCTGGGACTCAGAAGAAGCAGACTGCCTTCTGTGAAGGGGCGAAGCCCTAACTCTGAACACAGGCCCCCAATGTATCTTAAAGCCCAAATCGAAAACAAGGGCAGAATTCATTAAATGGGTCATTTAATGACCCATAACCCTGAACTGAGAATGGGGCTTCTATGACCTCAAGAGGGAAGAACATATGATGATCATAAATACTAATTGCAGCACCACTGAAGGGAAGCGAATTCTTGGAATGCCTCTCTCAGCATTCAGCCTTCCCTATGGAAGCCCCAAATTCTCAGTTTACCAACAACGGCCCTTTATCGGTCAGTAATTAATTACTTGTGGTCCAGGAGGTCTACCATTTATTAGCTGTGTCATCCTGGATAAGTCATTTGTCCTCTCTGGGTGTCTATTTCCTCAATTGTAAAATGGGGGTGGCATTTTTTTTTGCCAACATGGAACAAACCATGGGCATCCCTTCTGTGTAGAAATACAGGCAGAAGGCTTGGTCAGACCTGCTGGTGCACTCAGATTGGATGCCACAGCACTCTCATCCTAGATGAAATTCATTGGATCAATAGGATGCTTGGAGGAAAGGGACTTGGTAAATGAGCTTGGTATATTAATTCGTCAGCACATATGAGCTTTTTAATATTGCATTTCAAAATTTATGTCTTCAGAATTTCAATCACAGAACCAAAGAATATCAGAGATGAGAAGATTTTAAGAGACAAAATATTAGAGCTGGGAGGGGCCTTAGAACAGGGAACGTCAGGACTGGGAAGGAGCTTAGAACAGGGAACGTCAGGACTGGGAAGGAGCTTAGAACAGGGAACGTCAGGGCTGGGAGGGAGCTTAGAACAGGGAACGTCAGGACTGGGAAGGAGCTTAGAACAGGGAATGTCAGGATTGGGGGGAGCTTAGAATAGG